CTCACCACATTACTTTCAACTGTACAAGCGCAATCCTACCAAGAAAACCCGCCTAAATAAAGAGTCTCAGCAGCACTTACTCCACCTTTTCTTTTCTTCATGGAAAGGAAGACATAACAAAACGAAAATAACAAAGGGAAAACATGGAGGGATCCTACAACAAAAGGAAAATGGCTCTTTTTTAGAACTGCATTCCGTTGCTATATATACCGTTTCCATTCGTTGTTGTCATTTTCGCGAACTTAGTGGCATGTCCATTTTGGTAAACACTTATTTTCGCGATGCCATTCCCAACTCCGTTGGGTTTCCCGAATCCATTGCTTACCCTGTGGTTTTGTTGCAACACACCCTCAAGCTGTCCACATGCTGCTGCTATCAGACCTACACAATCAATCAGCCACAAAGTCGACTATGTTATCAAACCAAGCAGCACCAGAAATCCAAGATGGTGTGATTAGTTGTTCGATCAACGCAACTCAAGCAATCCTTTGGCACTTAAGAGTTACCTGTGAACACTGGAGAAGGTTTTCCAGGTCTCGATTTGAACTCTGGGTGGAACTGAACACCGACGTAGTAAGGATGATTGGGCAGCTCAATGATCTATTTGTTTTGACAGCGAAGGGAACAGTCATCAGAATCCCTCTATATTCCAGGCATGTCCAACTTCTGGACACACAAGAGTGGAGGGAGTGGGAGAAAAGGATGGAAGAAACAAGGTTGGTCATAATACCTCCATGCGTTGTCCAGTCTCGTCCTTGCCAGTAAAGGAGAGCCCAGCATCTTCAAAGCGTGCTACCATATCAGGATTCACCTGAACAGTGCAAGAGTAATGTTAGGGTAACGTGTCGAGCTATCAAACCAAGAACCAAATCCAATGATGACGCTTGGATGCTCCTCCATACCTCATATCTATGTCTGTGCCTCTCATCAACATAACTTTTGTTTCCATATCTGGAAATAGAAAGAAGAAAAGTTGGTTCAACTTTCACCGACAAAGGACTGCATTCATGAGGAAATATGTCTTCTTGAGATCATTATTATAACTTACAACTTTGCAGATTTGCAGTCATTCACATGGAAATATGTCCTCCTTGACCCCAGTCGCATGGTGCCACCCATGTGGGTTTTTGAGCCCTAATAATAATGGAGGGAAAAGCGGATTAGAAAAAAAGAGGAACAAGCACGGAAATTGCTTTGCAGGAAGAGCTAATAGGAGGCCAAACCTCAGGCATAAATATGACGCATGGATTCTTGGTGTGAGTGTCAAACTCTGTGCTGTTAGCGTCTTGCATATTGAGAACAGATCTTGCAAATTCAATGACAGCAATTTGCATGCCTAGGCAAATGCCAAGGTAAGGGATTCGATTCTCCCGAGCAAATTTAGCTGCAAGAATTTTCCCTTGCACACCTCTGTCGCCAAACCCTCCAGGAACAAGAATCCCATCGGCACACTGAAAGATGGAACAGGCAGCAAGATTGACCATTGGAACTCAAAACCGAGGAATATTAAACAAAAAAGCACTTGGTTCTACTAGGCCTGCTACCAACCTTGAGCAACTTCCATGCAGCTTTATACGCATCAGAATTCTGAGAAGTTGGAAGAAGCCTTGTCAGTCAAGTCAAATTGGCTGGAAGATGAAATCCCAGTGCATGGTTTTGGACAGTGATTTTTTTTTACTCACCTCTTGTGCTGTTTCATCTTCTAGATCTGTAGCTGGAACCCAATCAACAACAAGTTTCTTCTGGAGTGCAACAGATGCATGCAAGAGAGCCTGCCACCAACATAACATAAAGCAGATGAATAAATGCCATGCTTTAGAAGTTAGAACATCAAAATAAAGGAACTACTTATGAAATGAGTTCCACCTTTAGAACAGAAAGGTATGCATCTGAAAGACCTGTATACTTTCCAACCATAGCGATTCGGACCTACAATGACGTTTCAGAAGTGAGATCAGAAAACAGACAGTAAGAGAAGGCTGAGATAAATGGAAGAACATATGCTTAAGCCGTACAGGTTCATGCAAAGCATCGCACAGTTCAGCCCTAGCTGTCCATTCCCTTAGGTCAGGCTCCTTGGCAACACTGTAATATACAATGACGTTAGGGAGCACAGACAAAGAAGAAACCATACACAAAAGCAAATATATGAGATGAAAAAAAGCTGACTCAAATACTAACCCGTGAAGGTTTAGAACTCTCAATATGGCTTCATGAGCTTTCTGATCCTGAACAAACAAGCAGATGGTACAACGATAAGTTAGAACAGGGACATTTAGAGGAGAAATTATATGAGAAAGTGCAGCAATAACACTTACCCTTAGCAATAGAGGAATGTGCCAAATGTTGGGAACATCGTACAGAGTGACTATACTTTCGGACTGCAACACGGAAGGGGGCATCACAATTTAGCAAAAGCAGAAATGCAAGAGAAATTAAGTATAGAGTAATAGAAAAGGAAGATCAACCCACTGGAACATGGCAGAACTGAGCAAGTTTCTGTTTTACATTATCCTCGAGTGCCTGCATAAACAAATTACACAAATTTATATTCAGAACCAAATGCAGGTTACTGGGTGTAGGGGGTAACGCCAAAGACAGATATGTACCGAAGTGCTGCGACAAGCTAAGATATCCGGAGTCAAACCAAGGCCTCTTAGACCCCGCACACTGTGCTGAGTTGGTTTTGTTTTCTGCAAAGGATGATAATTCATACTCAGTACAGTATCTAGATATTATCTTTGTATAGCTCAAGCATGAAGATTCCCTTTGAATGTGAGTTGTGTAATGGTAAACTCTTACCTGTTCACCAACAACATTCAGGACAGGAACAAGACTCACATGAACCAAGCAAAAGTTTCCCGCACCTGTAACATAGACACCTTATCAGAACAGTACAACGAAGCAACATGTCTTCCTTAAATTGCAATTGACGGAATAAGTGAGCCAATTGTTTACCAACTCGGTAGGAGAACTGGCCCAGCGCCTCGATAAATGGCATGGATTCTATGTCCCCTGTAGGAAAAGAAAATGTTAATAGCTATAAGGAAAAGAACGGAAGTATCTTCCAAGGGTAAAGAACACTTCTCTTTGCGTTTACCTATAGTTCCTCCCAATTCAATGACGCAGACATCAGCGGGGCCTGACTTTCCATCTACAGGCACCTGGGCAACACGCTCTATCCAGTCTTGAATGGCATCAGTGACGTGAGGAACAACCTGTACAGTCTTTCCCAGATAGTCTCCTCTTCTTTCTTTATCGATGACAGCCTACATGACGCGATAAGACGGGACGGGAGCACTCAGTATCAGGAGGTCGGCACTTCAAACAATCATCGGAAAGCTTAAAAAGTTTGAATTTTGAACACATAAAAAGGAGCATGAAGTTTAAACAGCTTGCCTGGTAAATCTTTCCATTAGTGATGTTATTGTCCCGCGTCAGCTTGATATCAAGGAACCTCTCGTAGTTTCCAAGGTCAAGGTCCACCTTTTAAACAAAACAAAAGAGTCATTTCGGTTTCACCCTTGGATCAAATTTCACCCTTCCACCTCTAAAATTAAAGGTGGCCCAACTTGATAACAGGTAGTGCACAAGTTCAACCTCAATCAATTTACAGTATTTTAAACTAAAACTGAACCTGCACACTACAAGAAGTGGAAAGAATCTCAGAAAGATGGAGCAACTGCTACCACTAAAATGTCCAAGTTTAAAAAAACAAGACAAAATCATAAAGTGCTTAAGGACCGAGAAAGGGAATTCCTCGCTTCCATGGGAAACATCCCCAACCAATGGTTTGCAAAACTTGGAAAAGGCTAAAAAGGGCCTCCTTATTTACCTCACCCCCGTCATCAAGGACAAACACCTCGCCATGCTCAAAAGGCGACATTGTTCCAGCATCAGTATTCAGGTAAGGATCTGAAACAGGGACAGATAACGGAAAAAAAAGGAAGAAGCTTTAATAATTAAATTAAAGTAGAGTAATCCACTACAGTGGCTCACCAAAAAAAGCCAAAGCAAACCCACCAGAATAAAAAGAGAAGAGGGTAAAACAACTCAACCATCCGTTTGATGAATGCTTCCAAAACAAACAAAGGGATACCGGAAACGATAAAAACCGCCAACCACTACCCATTAGTTACAATCCGTGTTACACCCACAAGGAAACAGTAAATTGGAATTTTGGGTCATTGATAAGAGTTTTCAAAGGGCACCTTAAGCATAGCAAAAAGGTGTAATTACTTGATTAAACTATTGTGATTACAGAAGGGAGAAGGCGAAGATAACCACGCACGCGCACTAATCCAATATTTTAATTTCCTTTTTCTAAAACAAAGCAACAGAAGAGGGACAGATGAAATCAAGAAAGAAACAGAGTGGGGTTTGAAGGTCCTAGAGATAATAGGATAGGAATGAAAAAATGAAGGGGAAAAACACAAAGTAAATGAGAGTATATTCTGCTCTTTCTGAGATCTAAAATGCCATTAAAAGTAGAGTTCCAACCACAAGCAAGAAAGCATAGCAGCGTGATATCAAAATCAAAACCACCCAAGTGCTAAAGCAGGAATAGATGACTGCCGGTAGTAGTTCGTTCTGCAGATATAGCTACACAGACCGAAGAAAAATCAACCTAACAAACAACTGCAAACGAGAGAGACAGACCGATTTTGATAGAAGTAACGCGAAGTCCACAGGCCTTCAGAATGACGCCGATACTGCTGGCGGTCACTCCTTTCCCGAGCCCGCTCACCACTCCTCCAGTCACAAGCACGTACTTCATCTTTCTGCTACTGAACTTTTCTCGCACCAAAGAAAACGATGAAACAAAGAACTTCTCCTCCTGGAGAAATTTAAAAAAAAATAAAAAAAATCAAACAGCGCATCAGTATCAGAACAGTCATTGCCAAAACCGAGAAATAGAGATAGAGGAGGGAGGCGAGAAAGGAGAACCTTAGAAACTCCGTCAATGGCGGTTGTCAGCTGAAGCCACCGGAGGAGTTAGAAGAAGAAGAAGAAGAAGCTAGGGTGCAGGAATATGTGTAGAACGGGGTTCGGAAATGGTTGGGAGACTCGTTCGATTCGATTTGGGGAATCAGTGAGGGGAATCGCGAGGGGAATGAGGGAGTGGAGGATCGCAGGAGCGACGGAGGGAGAAGGAGAAGGAGAAGGAGGAGGCGGCGGCGGCGGGGCAGGGAAGGGGAGAAAAGAAACTGGTAAAGAGGGAGGGAGGGAAGTTTGGAAGAGGAAATGGGGAAGCTGATGGGCTTCAGCCTGTAGGCATTGGCGGCCTTTTATATCCGCAACTGCCCCACTTTGCTCAGCCCAGGCTGTGAGAGTACACACTACTAAACCCGAACCAAACAGTTTTTTTTTTTCTTCGGCCACGTACAGTTTTTTTGACGGGAAAACAAAGGAAATAAGTCTTGGAATATAAAAAAAAATTATAATAATTAATAAAATGTATTTTCCTTGGTCAAATATTGTTCCTTCTTTTTCATTTTTATCTAAGGGGGAGAAATATAATTGGCAATTGAACACGTAAATCAATGGAAAGACATTTTTTTACTGTTACGAACGAATGAATTGGATAAAGCAATATTGCTATATACATAAGTAGTGATGGCAATCGGCTCGACAGGCGGGTACCTCAACACTCATGCTAAGTCTAATTAATTAAAAGATCGACTCTAATTAGTTGAAGAAGAGTAAAAATAGAAGAAATATGTATAGATATTGTAAGATATCTCGGTAGAATGGACCAAGAACGGGTCAGAGCGAGGCAGAAGTAGATACCCATGCCCCGCCCACGCTACTATGGGTCAGGTAATACCCGCCACATTGCAGGTCAGATCGGGTAATACTCGCAGTGAGGAACATTGTTCGAGTGTTAGTTTTAAACTGACAGGAGTATATGTTGCGAGTTATAGAGAATGAGATTATAAAAGCCCGTCTGGAGCAGGCGATCTTGATGGAAAGCTCATTGATTAGCGTGAGGCTTGAGAATGACTCGGATTCAGCTAAATATAACTCGTCATAGCTCAAGTGTATGTGTATCTCATGCAATACAAGCATAATAGGCATCTTATTGAAGATTACGAGAGCTCTACAGAATCATCTATATTCTAGCTCCTAATGGTATAATGGGAGCTCGTGCAAGCTCATTAGGACTGTAGAGTTTACCAAGTAATCTCAAACAATCTCAAACTAGGTCAAGGGAAACAATGGTAGCCGAAGAGGTCCATAAGTCAACTTCAATATCTGAAGAGAACTTGAAATAACCAGTGTAGGTTTGTGATGCTAGACACTTGCTCACTCCATCTCGCCTAGTTACATCAAGTTCAATGCGACTTCTTTTCCTTATCCTCTATGCCAAGCCTCAACTTAGCGGAGTTCGCTTTACTTCTTCTACTCATCTCGTTGCCTCTCTTCTTTGTTGTCTATGTGTGAATCACATGTAGGGTGGGTCGGCTTTTGGGTTGAGGCTCGAAACCATGTAGAGCTCGAGTGCCACAGAGGGAGAGAATTGAGATATAAGAGAAAGGTGTGAGTGAGATTAATGAACATAGAGGGAGAGATCGAGAACATAGAGATGTTAGATGGGCGAGATCAATTCGTGGTCAATGATGCGTTTGTGTAGTTGAGCGGTCGTCATTAGAGTATAAATCACAACTAAATGGAGAGAGAAAAAAAAGAAGAGAAAAGCTAAGAAAGAGAACGAAAAAAAAGTATTTGCATAGGAAAAGCTTATTATATTTTGTTTTTTAGAAAATGCTTATTCTAATATACACAAGAAATCAAATAGGGAAAATTACCAAAATAAGAAAACAAGATGGACACACGTACTATAACCTTAAAAAATGTTATTATGCAAGTAAGGAAGCAAAGGATATTCCAACTGAATTCAATTTGCTTGTGTCATCTAACAAACCTTTGTCCTTCCTTGGCCGAAAGCAAAAAGTTCATATTTTTATTGATAAGGATTAAAAGAACCAAAGACCAAAGACTAGAAGAAGAAATGGCGCAATATGAAAAAGGCAAAAAATAGCGGGAGCGAGGTCAGCAAAAGTCTCCCCTAATTCCCTATTATAGATCGGGGATTAAGTGATAAAAAGAGAGGGAAAAGAGAAGATTGAAAGCACAAAGAGTAGTATTGGATAACCCTACTTACAGATTCCTGAGAAAAAAAAGAGTCCAAATCAAGGATCCTTTTATTACAAAGAAACCCCACATAAGAACAAACAACTTATCCTATCCACCATTGCTAAAACAAAGATTTGTGATAGTGTGCTGTACCCGTGACCGAATTATCAAAATTCATATTAATAGTTGAATTGGTATGCAATATAACTATTTTTTTGAATTGGGCAATATAACATGTTTAAATTATCGTATTTGTTGATTTTTATCAGTATTATATCTATATATTACGGATTTAAAATATTATCTTAATAACAATATTGTTAACTATCATTCACTTGTTTGTTCAATTCAATTTTAAGTACTAATACATGCGAAAAACAAATCTAAAATATAAAAAAAATAGGAAGCACATTTTAAATACGATATTATAGTACATGCTAAAAATAAATCAAAATTAGAAGAAAAAAAAAGTTGTTTGCTTCCCATTTTCCTACTAAAGGTCAATGTTTTTGGGGTTAGGCTTAATTGGTAGAGCTAAATTCGAAATGCCGACGGAAGGAAGGTCTGTTGGATGAATAGATGTTAATAAAAAGGTTAATCCTTAGTCGAGTCCACTTTGCTCTTCTATTACCTATGGTTTAATGCCGCGTGCCAACCAGTCCTGGGATTTAGGAAAAAGGTTGCTTATAGGCTATAGCTTTGTTTTTCTACGAGTTAGTAAAACATTTTTTGGATAGGAGTTTATGTCAGATTGATATTCGAGAATTTAATGTGAAATTCAAATTACTATGTGTTATAGCCACTTATAGGACAAGCTAAAACACAATTCAAGAGGTTTGGCATTCCTCATCTAAGCCTTCTTGCACCAGCAAACAAATAATAATAAGCTCCATCAATTTCTTTATGGGTTTCGCGTATTTGTGATGAGAGAATAACATATACATAGTTTTTTAGTTTTGATATATTAGAGTTGATCACAATTTCTAAGTTATTTAAATAAATAAATATCCAGAACGACCAGTTCATTAAAATATATTGACTCTATCATTAGCACTAGAACACAAAATCACAAAAAAGGTTTAAGAAAGATCTATTACAAAAATAGTTGACTAAAAATTGGTTTATTGTGTAGCTTCTCCTATCTAAAACAGGTTTGTGGCTTTGTGCCTCCATAAAATATGTATTGATTGATTTATCATGCATTTTCTTATAGATAAAGAATCAATTTTGTTTTATATTTAAAGAAGATCGATATATTCATCGAGGTAAAATTTCAAAGTATACTACATGATTTAGTTTGCTATAAAGTTGGAAATCTGGTTTGGATCGAGTAATTGCGAAACAAAAAAAGTTGGTCAATTGTCTTATTTTACAAAAGATTCCATTCTAACCATATGCATTATGCATCCACTTTAGACAATTATTTATAACTGCCTCAAAATTGTTCGATCCAAATTTTTGTTAATAAATGGATGAATTTGGCCCAACTATCTCAAACTGAAACAATTGGTTTAAATTAATATGTTTGAATTATTCGTCCAAACGACGACACAAAAAATAGCCGGAGCTAATGTGAATGAAAACTGAAAAGTAAAATGTTTTATCAGAAAACTGAAAAGTAAAATGATATTTTTTTTACTCTCATTTTCTCCTTAAAGATAAGTGGGAATTGAAAACTAAACCCACGCTAGCTAATGGTCAAAAAGCTCTTTTTATGAATGTGGTTGCACCAGCTAAAAACTAGATGCACTTTAATTTTGTCTTATTTCATGGAATAACTTCTGAACCGACACGGTTAATGCCTTTAATTAATTCCCTTTAATAAATCCTTAAGACGGTCTCAACACAAATTTTGGATAATAGGTTTTGACTTTGAAGCAGCTGGATAATTAAGTTTTAAGTTTTTTTAAAGAGTAAAGACCAACGAGGTGAAAATTGCTACAAGCCTACGACATTGGATACCAGTTAAATGAACAACTGAATATTTTGTTTGTTTTTTTGTCAACGGACAATTTAAGCACATTTACTCGTCATCCATCTACAATCCAACCCGTAAGTGATGAGGATGGATGACAAGTAACAACATATCAACTACTTGATAATGGACGAATTGAATTCTACTCGAAAATCACTCGACTCACTCTGTCACCCAGTAAGAACCCATAAACATGGGTAGATAATTTCATAATTTTATATTATCAACCCAAATAAAGCCAGATTGCAGAAAGGGGGAAGGGTGCCAAAAAAAAAAGAAATTTGTAATTAATTAAGATTCGATGATTTAGTGGGGAAGGTGACATCAAAGATAATCATGGTTATCTGGACATACAATTGTATCCACTTTAGCAAATGTATGTTTCATGGTTGAAAGGCTCGACGGTCGTGGATTTGTTCTGTGCCAACCGTTCCCATTGGTAAGGAAATGACCCTGACACAGAGGGCGGACTATTTGGTCCGGACTGTTTGGTTTTGTCCGAAACCGGACTGTATAACTCAGACCGGGACCGGATAGCAAACAATCCAATCTCATATTCGGGTTTAGATTTGAGGTAAAAACCCGGATAAAAACCGGATAAGAGACCCCCAATACCTAAAAGCAAGATAAAATTGGGACCGGATCGGGTCAAGACCGGACCAGATCAAGACCGGAGTGTATCCAATCCAATCTTTGATCCTTATATTCCCAAAAAAACCGGATCAATTTGATCCAATTAACCGGACCGTATAGCCACCCCTACTCATACATACTAGTACTACAGTGGTCACCTCCTCAACGTCTCTTGGGTCAAAACCAAACACAGTAAAATCGTAATGGAAGTTGTGACAAAAAGTGCAATGGTTTCATGGTCGAAGTTAATCTGGTCTTCTCCTGTGATCCCAAGTAACAAATTCATTTCTTAGCTGGTCATTCAAGAACATATTGTTACATGTGACAAGATGAACTCTTGTGGATTTACAGGCCCTCTTGGATGCGTGTACTGCAACCATGATATTGAAACTATATGATGAGGACATCAACGGACCAGTTACAGGTGCTAAGACTAGAGCATTGAAAGAGAAGCTTGCAACTTATTTGGAGAGTCATTTTGGAGCTATGGACGTGGAGCTATTTTG